CTGATAAGCACCTTTCAATTATCTTGCCTATCGTATCACCCTTGTGATTCTCAACCATACAAAAACTTAGAATCCTCTTATGCAAGTTCCAATCATTATCAATGAAATGGCTGTCAAACATAAGTAATTGAAGTTTTGAACTGATATCTAGTAATCTATAGTGAGGCAAAGAATTAGTACACTTCTTCAACAAATTTTTCAAGATTCTAATTTCACCAAGATACAATTGCCAGGCATCTCTAGCCACTGTTGTTCTTGAAGGGATTTGAAATTGTGGTTCTAACTCCTTCACAAACTTTTTAAAGCCTTCTTTCTCAACAAGCCTAAATGGCATCTCATCACATATGATGAACTCAACTAGAGCCCTGCAATATCATTTCTGATTGAACATGTGAGGTACTAAGCTTCCCTCTTGCCCACTTGGTGTCATATAATTCAACATAGATTGTTTTGTCATTTGTGTAGCTTTATGTGGATTCTTGGGACACTTTGGTATATGCCTCTTCAAGGATGTTAAACCATGCTTGCCTGGGTCACAAGCATAATCTAAATTATAGTACTTGCATGCAGCTCTAACTTCTCTATTTGTCTCCTCTAATGGTAACTTAGTAAAGTGTTCCCATACTTTTGACACCTTTCTTGAAGAATTTTTTCTCTTTCTACTACCTTCTGTAGCTTCACTTTTAGTTACAGTTGTAAGAGGAGGAGGACATTCTATAGTAGTTGGGGGTTGAGGAGGAGGAGTAGGTGTCAAAGATGGTCCAAAAGAAGTTAAACTCACATTTTCACTAGTGAAAGGAGACAATTGAGGTTGGTCAATGCTGGATGTTTGCTCAATATCCATCACTTCACGATGATGAAAAGGAAGCAAAATGGACAAGTTATAACAGCACAAAATCATGGCAGGTAACACAAAAGCTAGAAAATGAGAGCACATAATTGATAAGGTGATTACTAATAAAAATCATCCCACAGGAATGTCTTTCGAACAGATCAACATAGACATAGGGAAAAACTTTAAACAACTTCTAAGGCAAGTCAATCCAAATCTGTCTAACAAATTTCAATCTTCCAAATCTGTGTAACAAATTTCAATCTATATTAAACAACTTTTAAGACAAGTCAATCCAAATTTGTGTAGCAAATTTCAACAAATTCTAGATCGTGCAGAGTGATGAGCCAGAGTTAGGGGAAAAAACACACCCACTTCAATGGTTTTTCATAGATTCGATGATAAGGCAGAGTCAGGTAAAAAAAAGGGAAAATGAACAAGAATATGCCAGACTTAGGTCAGCATAAGAAATCTCTACAGTTACTTTTCAAGTGAAAAAAACAAAAGGAAGAAGAACAAGGAATGGCTCGAACAGGGGTGGGGCAATGGGTAACAGGACTTACCTAGCAATTGCTTGCTTGAACATGCGAGAATGGCGGTGAATCAGAGGTTAAGGTTAATAGAGAGCACTAGCGGTGAATCAGATGCGAGAGGCGATGCCGACAGTGGTAGCGCACTAGTAGAGCAGCGGTGGCAGGAGAATGGCTCGAGCGAGAATGAAAAGGGAAGAGCAATGAATCAGAGATAAGGGCTCGAACAAGAATGAAGAGGGAAGAGCAATGGCGGGTGACGTGATTGACGGTGTTTGGTGGTGGCGCACTGGAGGAGGTAGGGCTTCAGCGCACTGGAGACTGGAGAGTGTGGAAAGAAATTGAGAATGAGTTTCGTGTTGAAGCTGAAGTGAGCTGGATTTCTGATGGCGTTTGCTCTTTGCTGTGTGACTAAAATGATTAACACGTGTGAGATCGTGATTGACGCTGCCGGTTGCTAGAGCCTGGAGTGCTGGGTGACTTTTTTTTATTCGATGTGTTAATACAAAATGTAATAATGTAAGATTAATTCACTAACTTATTAATTAATAATTTATAAATTATTTTAATTATATTAAAATAATTCTATAGGACCAGACTGGACCACTTAGTCCAGATGTTTGGTCTCTAGTCTGGTCTTATCCGAAAAATTAATCCTATCTTTTTAGTCCTTTTAGTCCTATAGGACTAACATTTTATAGGACTGGACAAGACCGGGTTTTCACTGGTTGGACTGGGTTAGACCAGATTATGAGACTTTTGCACAGCCCTAATATCATTGATATACGACTGTATATCAATGATAAATAAATTAATAAGTTTTCACTGATATGGTTTAATATTAGTGATATATAATAATATATCATTAATATACTATCATAAATCAAAATAACTAGACAATCAGACATAAACTTGTTTATAATTGATATACAGTCATATATCAATGATATAGTATCGCAGATTAGTAACATGAAAAACATACAATTATTTTTCCAAAACAGATCAAACAAAATATCAAGAAACCCTTACTTGAACTTTGGCTCTTGTAATAGAGTTTGACCGAACTTCCTCACCCTGAATTTGCAGCTTTAGTGTGGCTTTGTGTATAAGCTACAATTTCGAACTTCCTCACCTTACATTCATGATTTTTCAACCTGAATTTGTAGCTTCCAGTTTGCCTCGCCTCACGTTCTTGTGGTCTCCTAGCTGAATTTCTAACTCCGGTTATCCATCGGTGTGAGTTATTTCATTATCTACCGTTAGTTTCTTCGCTGTCATGACCGAGAGTGCAGTGTCGTCTTCATGTCTTCAGGTCGGTGAAAGCAAAACCATGTGTAAAAAAAAGAATCAGGGTATTGTGATGTTTAAGGGCAGTTTTGCCTTTTGTATCAAAGATAAATTAAAAAACGGCCATTATCTTAATTTAAGAAAAGGTGGGTTATTAATTTTATTTAGCTATATAATGTTGGCTAAATTTGCTAAAGCCCTTATTTCAATAGATAAGAGATAATAAATCATCCTATAAAATAAATTGTTTGCGCTTTTATGATGTGTAGTAGTATAATAAATGATGAAAAATAGGTTGATATTAAAATAAATTTTAATATAAAGAGTCGAGGAATAGTTTGCGTGGCCCTGAGTGCTCATATCCCTAAACTCTTTTTAGAAAAAATTACATACACATCCTATAGAATAAATTTATTTACAATGAGTGTTATAAAATTCGAAAACCATAGTTAATTTTCTTGAAACTTAAGTACAATTTAGAATTAGGATACAAAGATAATATACATATATTAAACATACATTGTATCAATCAAATAACTAAGTTACAATTACTTCATCAGCAATTTATAATTATAATTTTACATACTCAATAGTTAAACAATCATGTATTATTAACAAAGTTTAATATTAATTGTTTACAATTACTTTATCAGTAATTTTCAACTATAACTTTAACTTTTTACAATTGTAATTTCAAATATTCAATAATTAAACTGATCAATTTAACTATTGGATATATGAAGTTACAATTGTAAAAAGTTAAAGTTATAGTTGTAAATTACTAATGAAATAGTTATAAATTATCTCACTACTGTAATGCATATATGTTTAATAAGAGCATTATTATTTTTTATCCCAATTTCAAATTATACTCAAGTCCCAAGGAATCTAATTGTGACTTTAAAATTTTACAGGACTTATTTGTAAATAAGTCTACTCCACAGGATTTATATATAATTTTTTCATCATTTTATCTTAACAGTAACCATCTTTTTAAACATCCTTACTAATCCAACTTAGAAGTAAGCCTAGAGACCCTTTTTTTTTTTTAAATTAAGTTTCACATAATAACATTACACATTTATTATTTAAAATACAAATTATCGTGCTCTAAAATTCAAAATAATTAAAGATCATAATTTTAAAACAAAAAACAAATTCTAAGTTTAAATTTGATTCAAAATTTTAAATATCACAATTTTATAGGCTTTAAAAATAAATGTCATATTAAACCTATTTTTCAGTGTTTATACAATCAAAGCTCATAAGCCTTTTCATACAAAATTTCCTCAATATTTTAAAGCCTAAGTTTGAAAAGCAAACATAAACATATCGTTAGATAAACTTGATTCATGTTCTCAACTCTAATTATTTTTTCAAACCGATCCTTATTAATTGAGCTCAAAGGTGGATCTAGAAGCCCATCCTTTATTTTTCTTAATCTTAATTTTTTAATTTAAGTTTCACTTTATAATATTACATATTCATTATCTAAAATACAAATTACAGTGCTCTAAAATTCAAAAAAAATTAATATAAATAATGATTTTAAGGTAAGAACACTTATCCTGAAGTCTAAATTTAATCTAAAATTTTAAAATACCTAAATTTTACAGCTTAAAATAAATGAGTTTAAATAAGCCTAGTCACCGAGCTCGTGCTTGAATCCATTTTTCGGTTTAAACTGGTTATGCTCAAAAGTTTTTTTTTAATTAAAAATTCCTCAATTTTTTTAAATGTTAGGTTATTTTATTTTTAAAATATATATTTAATAATAAAGTTAAAAACTTGTTAAATTTTTAAGTAGAATTAATGATGTTTAAAGTTTTTTTTTTCAGTGAAATCAAAGAAAATATATTAAAAAATTCCAACCTCGTAACCCCCCCCCCCCCCAACAAGAAATTGAACTTTTTAAAATCTTAAAACCTTGTATTATAGCTAAGTCAATATCACATCGCCACAAGGGTATAAAATCTAATTATTCTCGATGAGGCAATCCTTGTGCTTCCCTCTCAATGCCACTGTTTAGGGGAAAAAGTCAAAACACCAATACGTTCAAGTGCAAGTAATTACTTAAAGCTCTAGAAGTAATTTTAATATATGTTCATTTACTTACAGGACCATATTGTAAACATATCTTTTGCTATGAATTGATTATTCAAAGAGAGTATTAAGACAAGGGAAGTTGAGTTTGGATCCAGAAGGAATCTCCGGCAAGTTCCACGATTGCAAGGTGTTGTATGCACCCTCCTTTGTTCCCACTGAAACGGTAGGTTCGACAGAGAGATAAGGCAGACTAGATCAAACATCCCCTCATGAACAAGTAACAAATGATGTGAATAACAAACTGCTTTCCACAAAACAACTATTTACCATTAAATTCAATCGTTGAGCAAGTTTAAAGAAATCCAGGGAAGAAAAATATGACAGATCCACAGTTCCTACGTCATCATTCAAATACCAATAATTTGAAACCAATGAAGGTGCATTCAGCTCAGAGCATTGTTATAATAATGGATTTCCTACTTTAATTGAAAGAAAATGACTTTTATACAAACGGAGTACAAGTTCCTCTAGACAATAAATAAAACCAGGAAGTAGTTAGATCAAAGATTAAAAACCCTGGCAAAACCATGGAGTTGCGCAGATATCAGTTATGCCCAAGGCTCCTCAACCCGCATGCAGCCAGCGCCCCAAAAATCTGCAGATTATACTTCCACATAGGAATGAACTTCTAAACCGATGGTGCGCTTCGGGGTTGCTATCTTGCAGGTTGCAATGTTGATGGAGTCGGCAACTTACCCTCTTAAATCGGTAACACAAGCAAGTCAATTTTTCGAGTATGATTTAAAGAACACGGCTTTCAGATAATCAAAATAACAAAAGCACAACGCTGGCAGCCAAAAACATATTTATCCCGGTTGTTATAAAAGTCACTTGAAGAACTAGTTATAAAATTTGACAGCCTGAATAGATGCTGTGTGTGACACTTTTTCCCCGTCCAAGCAGAAACAAAATAACTAAAATAACTACATTTACAACTTAAATAATCTCAGCTTATAAAGTGGCAACTAGAGGATGAACAGCCATTCCCGTATTGCTCAATCTCATTAATCCCATTGATCAACAAGTGAGCAACTGACAGCGCATCAATAAAATGCCAGAAAAATGATCTTTTTTTTTGGGGGGAAAAAAAGGGTCTAAGATGAGGCCCCAAATTAGGATTAACAAAACATCACGGGATAAAATAGTTTACAAATTAACGCGCCAATTTTTTGTTTAAAAATAAATTAGCTATACTACATGTCCAGGAGACAAAGGAAAGGGTGAAGCTAATAACAGTTATCAGCAGTCACTAGTATCTTTTACTACACTGTCTAGAGCATGCGCATTGACAATTTATCAAAAATGAGCATACACCCTGACAGAAGATCAGTGCCTTCTCTTATCAAGCTTTCTTCATCAGGAAAACCCAAGTTTAAACCAAAATTAACCTAGCTTCCAAATGTCAGTGCGAGTTAGCAGAGAATGAGAATCTCTGGTGAAGAATAAGAAATTGAACCATAATTGATCAGCAAGAAGGTGTCATAGGTGAACTTTATTTTCTTTTCTTTTTCATTGTCTTCTTTTTATATCTTGACATCATCCTATTTACCCATGGGCAATGAGTTTAATTAGGAGTATGTGCTTCCACACAACACACGTGGAAGCAGAGCACGATGTCCAACCACAGAAAAGGAGGGCCAAATATGTGATAAAATAAACAGGAACTCACCTAAGTTTTATTAGATAATATACGATTCACAAGATCCTCATTGATGGAAACAGGCAATGGGGGCATTTGGCTCATTATGCCAGGCATCTCTCTCATGCTGCACAAAAATTGTTAATGAACTTCACAAAGCAATAGACTTCAAATCCAAATCTGAATGAGACTGAACTCGCATGATATTAATGGTATATTGGATAAGAATCACATACTCATTAAGGATGGTACTAATGTTGTGCCTTGTTTGGCAAAAGAGGTCGATGTTATCCTGAAACTGTACCATATCACATCATATCATTAACTAGGATGGCTTGAAGGCCAAGACTGTTCTATATTAATAAAGACAACATGAGAATGCACAAAAAGAGTTCAGGAAAGGAGTAAATTTGTAACATAAATGTAACGAAATAAGGAAATAAGCATAAACCCATTCTTACAAGTTGATGCAAAATTTAGATTATCAAATATTTTGTACAGGTACTAAAAAACAGTTACGTATGAGTGCCTGATATGAACTGGAAACAAAATATCGGTGGGGTATGTCCATAAGCATAAGATGCTTAATTTAGGCAGAGGGTAGATGCATAATTTTCTTATTGTCACTTAGTCTTAAGCTTAATCTATAATACAACTAGGATGTGAGATGGATGAGATATGCATGTTGCACAAGCCAGGGGGATGAGAGATTGGAAAGTTCTTTTAAGCTAATGTTTTTGTCTTGCGAGGATTCCAGTCCTCTTTGTATTTGGTACTGAGTTTTCTAAATTACTCATTTTCATATGGAACGAATACAGATGTTCAAGCCCCTCTATATAGCATCAAGGACCACCCCTAACAGCTAGTGACAGACATAACAGGCTTCTCTAGGGAACAACCACAACTACCTTACTAATTAACATCAGAACAATACTCCCTCTATCAAAAGCATCCTTGTCAGTTGTTGATAGAGGTAGAAGAGAAAGAGGGAGAGAGAGAAGAGGAAGACTAATTCCATTCATACCCATCCATTACAACCTGGAGACCTATTTATAGAGAACATACTAAATACCCAAATTACCCTTATATCCCTAATTCCCCTAATGTTCCTAAATCCCATGTATCAATACTCCCGCCAACAAGAGATCCTTGTCCTCAAGGATTAGTACAAAAGCAGAAAGTAAAACTATATATAAAATAAGACTTCTCTGGTGTTTTTTTTTTTTAACCTCAAGTTGTTAAAACTTGTAATAGAAAAGTAATTTGAAAACAAAATTAATGAACATCAAAAACCCAAACTTGCTGCAATTGTCCAAAGGCCCAAAATTTTGCAATTGTCCTTCAATCCTAAGGCCCATTATAGCAATCCACATGGATCCATGTGACACCCATTGCTGAACAATAAGGAATTGTATTTCCAACAGCTTTCTAAAGTAATTAAGGCCTATAAATGCTTAAGAAGCCCAAATCACCTCCAAATAAGCATTGTTAATAAGCCCATGCCTATTACAGTTTTGATAATTGGCATGTGATTATGAATCACACTTAGGGCATGCGTGGTCTTGAAGTGTGCCTAGAAACGCAGAACACATTTGACCCTTGGAGCCAACACTCACTGTCATAGAAGCAAGTCTGTGCTGCCAGAGAAGATTCGAGAACCTCCAACAAAAACCTAAAACCTGCTATCTCTTTGCTAGCACTACTCAACCCAATGCCTTCAACAACCCTACCTAACCTAAGATTCTAGTGGTATGCTATCATTGTCCCTACATAGCTTGGCTTCATCATCAACCCTAAGAACGTCAACTGTGACGGCCTCACACTCACCCCAACCCCCTGCGGTTGCAACTCCATTGGCCCCCAATAAGTCGAGTTCATTAGACCTATGTTCATCATCATTCTGATGAATGTCTTTCTCGTTACCCTTGTCGATGAGCTCAAGAACAAAGTCATAAAAGATGGGTAGTTCAGATTCTTTAGCAATGGCTTCTTGTCCAGACAATTTGACAATGATTGGGTCATCATTTGAGTGAGCTTTTGCCCACAACTGATGGTGCATAAAAGGTTAATGTAATCTTTGTCAATTCTTTGCAAATCAGAATCTAACCTGGTGGGACCAACTGCATCGGTCCAAGCAACAAGAATATTCACTCCTAGGGCAATCAAATTCAGTTTCACAATCTTGGGGTTTAAACCATCTGGTCCTCTGGCTGAAAAAGAAGCCAAAACCAATGCTGGTTTGATTCCAAGCACCATGCCTTTGAAGTCAATGGTGGCCGTGGGATGTGTGGAGGAAGAGACATAATCATGAAGGATAGGAGTGGGCTCAACAAACTCAACGATGCACCAATGATAATAGGTGGGAATGTCTATGAAAATTCGTGAGCCACCATCATCACCATTGAAATTCAAGTCAAGCTTCAACATTTTGAGCATCTCATAGGCTTCCTCTCCATTCGTAGTCAATCCAGCAACTTCATCCTATGTCACTTTTGTAGTCCTCTGCTCTCGATTTGCTCCAATCTCCTTGTCATTCTCATGTTTTTCTTCTTCATCTCTGTCAAGGTCATTCAATTCTACCATCGTTTCGGCGTCGATGTTACTGTTCTGTTGCTAGTTGTCAAACTCATGCACGTTTCAAACATGGTTCAGCTATCAAACATCTATGAGGATAGTTGATTCAATGACCACAGGAGAGTGCAAGCGCTGGTTGGTAAGTAGTGAGAGCTTAGCCGAGATTTCATGCCTCTAGTGAGAAATGTGAGACATGGTTTGCTTGATCTTAATGAAGCCGACTGCATCTCCAAATGATATTCAAGAGCACCAATGCGTTCATGGGATTGGCTCTTCGGCAAAGCCATTGCCAGAGAGGAGGCTCTGATACCTTTCATAGAGGTAAAAGAGAAAGAGGGAAAGAGAGAAGAGAAAGATTAATTCCATTCATATCCATCCATTACAATCCAGAGAACTATTTATAAAGAATATACTAAATATCCAAACTACCCTTATATTCCTAAATCCCATGTACAAGTTGTGGTACATAAGAAGCGTCAAAATCAGGAAATTGATATTGAATAATAGAAAGCAATTGAATGGCTGAGCATTTGGTACTAATAGAAATTAGAGATCGGCCCATGCGTTGGATCCATTGGATTAATGACCTTGGGCCCCTCCCTTTATTAGTAATCAAAAGATACTTTGCCATTATTCTGTTCTTCCTTATTTTAAGGAGCTGATACCACTTCTGGAGAGTGTAAAACAAGCATGCCAGTTGTCTAGTTGACTTTTCCACCTGTGCATAAATTGAAACACCCAGCCAAGCAAGGAACTCCTGTGCATGATATGAAGACCATCCACTTTGCTTCTTGGTCTTGCACGCAAGTCCATTAATGCACGTAGAGTGGGAAAAGTATAGAAACTGGTATTTGATCTTACAAGACACCATTACAGCCTTTCAATACCCTGTTCATAGAGATATGAGATATTAACCTAAATACCCAAACTGCCCTTTTACCCATAATTCCCCTAATTACCTTAAGTCCTTAACCATTCGTAATTCCCATATATCATCCATCCTCTCCAACTTGCAATACCTAGTGTCTAAAGGAAGAAGAAAGTCCAAGTGACTCAATTATTGGACTCAGATTCACCTCAAACAACCCGCTAGCCTGAAGCTACCAAGTTTAAAAATGCTTTAGGTCCTTACACCAAAGCAGCAACGGAGGGAATTGAACACATGAGCCATGAAGAAGACTTGGGTTCCTTGTTTGTTGAAGCCAGCACATGCATAGAAGCCAGACCGCTAGAGTTGGTGCCTCTGCTTTTGTCAGGAGAATTCATCCAAGACACAGAATCTCTCTCCCAAAATTGACATAAGTGATCATGTTGGGGTGGGCTCTAAACCAAAGTTAAATCTTCAATCTCTCCTCTTGGCTTGTTTTTCATTATGTTGTTAAGCTTCTAGCACTGTAGTACTCTTCTTGGATTGATGATAATAAATTATTTCCTCCTCATTAAACTTTCATGAACACACAATCTTCAAGAATGGTATGCCTCTCACCTTCCAACAACTCCTTCACACTCTCCATCTCCAACTCATGGACCTTTGTGGCTACCTTCTCCAGGCCGTTTTGCAATTCTTTCACTAGTCCAAGCATTTCTCTCATTGCATCATGCATAATTTCACTCATGCCTGCAAATAATTCTTCCTTCAATATTGTGCACATTTCTTGCATAGTTACTTTCAACTTCTTAAGCTATGTCCCTTCGAATTGAGCCATCTATGCTTCCATTTCCCTCCCATTGGAATGAAACTGCTCCAAAACACTTGGTACATAGCTTTCCAAAATACATATGTCCAAGTCCCTTTACATAGCATCAGGGACCACTCTTAACAGTGCATAACAGACTCCTCTAGGAACTACCACAACTACCTCACAGGTGATAGTTGTTAAGACAACCAAGCAATGGAGCTAAGGCTAGAATGGGGGGAAATGGTTGAAAGTTGCAACATATCCAAAAGAAGATAATCACTTTTTTATTCTAATTATTTGGCATTAAAAGGAAACTTTTGGCTTAAGGCTCTAGCTATTCAACCACTCAACCCAGATTACAATTGATAATGGGAATTCAATGCAACAGTAACACCCTAAGACAATCTCAAAAAGGAGAAAAAGCATCAATAAGATTGTATTTGCTGCTTGTTAGGTAAACTATAAAAGAAAAGAAAACTTGAGAATTCCAGAAATGAACTTAAACTGGATTCAAACACAAGTTCAGGAACACAAATACAAAACCAACATTATGTGAACAAAATACTTCTTTCCATTTCTAACAAGTGGTTTATAATGCATCATTAGCACCAGTATTTATAAACGCCCCTATGAAAATTGAAGTTAAAATACCTTGTAAGTAGATAAATTGGCAGTGATTTGACAAAAAGCTTGAGCATTCTGCTCCAAGAGTTGCTTCATAGGACCACAAATTCCTGATAGCACATAAGAATACAAGTGACTGCCAAACGTAAAAACCAGTGCAAGGGGCACAAAAAGGGACAATAAAAGATACCAAGGACCAATAGTTCAGAGAGATTATGCAAAACATGGCAAGAATTAGGCAACTACCAAGAACACAGAAAATGAAAGATAACATGGGCCAATAATTTTAAGAGATTGAGTAAAATGCAACAACATTTAGGCAAGTAAGTGATAGTAAATATTGACTTGCATCAAAGACCATGACAACTCAAAGCTTAAACCATTAAGTGAAGGTCCATGAGTCGTTATTGTCAGAAATTGCTATTGATTTTACTTAACTTTTTTTAAATTTTAAACAAGGATCATTTGCTTTTTAATTATTCTTGGATAATATTTCTATGTTATGATATTTTGAGTTTTCCAATTCAATAGTGATAGATCCTGTTTTGATTAGGATAAGATCATTTAAAATATTTTGCTTAGATATGTTTTATCACGTGGTTATTTGAGTTTTTTCTCTTCTGTAAATTTAGAATTGCTTCCATATAACAAAATAATAAGTTCAGTGAGAATTACACCTTGAATTTCTACAGTTATAATATCTAAATCTCCTCATAAAATCCTTTGGCGCTTGAAGGGCAAACACAGCACAAGCCCACTATACCTTATGCTTAAATTTTAATGATGAGATTGAGCACCAAGGTCCAAACTCCTATCATAGGTCTCATTCCTTATCAAGAGGCACTCAACCAAAAGCGTTAAGCTATCAAATGAATTCCCATGAATGTTTTATTAACAATCTAACAATAAGAATAGCATCAACTATAATCTAAAGAACAAGATTTGACTCTTAATATGCACATGCATATCGATCGAAACTTGGTAATATGAAATACCAACTCCCACATTGAGTTGTATGGGATGTCAATGAGGTATTTAACTGAGTTGGTTCTCCCACCTCAATAGTTATCATTTGGAGTAAGATTCTCCATCCTATTAAGGCACCCATCACATTTGAATATGATGTATGGCTCTCATGGGAACCCACATGAGATGAGAAACTCTCCTCCAAAAGCAAGCCATTGAGGGGAGAGAACCAATCCATTAAGTGTCATATGAAGTATATCATACTACTTAATTTGGAACTAGACATCTTAATTTGGAACTAGACATCTCATATTACATTGGTCTTCATGTCTATTGGCTATCTTCGGAGAGGCAATATTCTAATGGCTACACTCAAAACATTTCACTCAACTGTCTCAATGATCTAATTGATGGGCATGTAAGTGGAATGGGAAACCCTACATAAAAAATTAACTATTAAGATGGAAAAATTAACTCACTTAAGTACTCCATAAAGCATCATATGCTACAAAACATCCCATACTACCTCAGGTTCTAACTTAGAGACACCAAAAGTTTTATTTTTGCAATGCCAAGCAGCTACCTACATACAAATGTTTCTTCAGTCTGAGTTGAGAAGTAGAGGACGTCAATACACCAGTGATAAAGTACTGGTCAGTGTGGGATAATGGGCATTTTGGGAAGTTAGAGAAATATTGGAAAAAATTATGAATTTTAGATATTTTCTATTTCATAACATTTAGATTATTTTTACGGATAATCTAGTTCTTAGTGCAAAGAAAAGAGAAGAAACTAATTGTAAATTTGAGTTATGAAGGAAAACATTAAAGTCAAAAGGTTTCCACTTGAGTAGGAGTAAAAAATAACATTTGCATTGTAATTTTGATAAGAGGTCAATAAGTAGTAATTTCGAAGTGAAATTAGGAGATCAAATAATACTTCAAGTGAAAAAGTTCAGATATTTGGGAGCCACTATTCAACATGATGGGAAAATTGATAGAGATGTTGCACATAGGATGCAAAATGGGTGATTTAATTGAAAAAAAGCTAAAGAAGTTATTTGTTATCAAAAGGTACCTAATAAACTTAAAGGGAAGTTTTATTGAACTGCTATAAGACCAACTATGTTATATAGTACTAAATATTAGGTTTTAACGGGACAACAAGAGCATAAAGTTAGAATAGTAAAGATGAAAATGTTGAGATGGATGTGTAGGTATATATGTAAAAATAAAATTCAAAATGAGCATATACATGAAAAAATGAGCATGGCATCTATAGTGGGAAAAAGGGTAGATAATAGTTTAAGATGGTTTGGAAATCACAAAAAAAGACGAGGCACCGATAAAGAGAGCACAACTGATAATTTTGAGCCTTGTTAAAAAGGGTAAATGAAGATGAAAGAAAACACTTATGGAAGTTGTTGACCGAAACCTCTTAGTTAACAACAATTATAAAAGTTTGGTAAATGATATAGCACAATGACATCGTGCAATTCATGTGGCTAATCCCACCTAGTGGGATAAGACTTCTTCTTGTTTGTTTCTCAAATGTTCTTCTATTATCTTCAATCAGAAAACAAAATAATTATGGCATCCCTAGTCCTAAAATAGTGAAGTCCCTCTTACTCTCTCGTTACTATTCTAGACTACTTCCTCACAACTATATCAACATTTTCAGTATGGTGTAATTAATAGTTTATAATAAATGAACAGTGGAGGATATCAGACAAGTAAAAACAACATAATTCAGCAGCCAATAAGTCAACTACTTTTATGTTCTCATCACTTAATGAGACTGTAGAGATATTGTATTTATTGTAAATATTATTATCTGATTATTAGGAGTTAATAGGATTTATTAGAATTATTAGCATTTATTAGCCATTTATTTGCTTGTCTCCTAACTTTGTGTATATATAGTCTTCTGTATCCTACTATTATGATCAATGGAAAATCATATTTTTCCTTTCAAAAATCCCACATGGTATCAGAGCTCATTAGATCAGAACTCTAACTGGTTTTTGTTCTGCCGTATAGCACAGTTTCAAACAAGCTGACGGACAAAACCCTAATGGAGGACGAGAGGCGCCGTTGGATCTCACCGCCGACCAAGGAAGGACTAGAGACATCTGATTAGCGCAACCCCAAAGTTTGGCGTCCGTCGATGGTGCGTGGCTATCACAAGCGCCACTAGTCCAATCGACATCAGAGGGAGAATCCGAGCACGTGGTGGAGCGTGGCAAGCTGTTTCCTGGCAACGACGACTTGTTCCAGCAACGATGGACCATTTCCGACCTAGTCTCAGCATTTTCCTGTTGTGGGTCTTCCAAGCCTTCACCTTGTTCGTTGAATGTGCGTACTGTAAGAACAAATTGGACCTAAAAAACACAAATACCCAAAAATTTCTAAGGAAAATGGGACTTCTAATCCTAGAAGTGGTATGTCTTGGTCTTCTTGATCTGATTTGTACCCGTTTGCTCATAAAGTTTTGACAATGGATGATGAAACTTGCAAAACTGTCATCAAAAGTTGTTGAATCAAATGCACTGTGTTAGTCAGATTCCACGGTCAGTCTTTATATTCTTGGCACAAAGAGGAAATTTTCTTCAAGCCTTAAAAATGTGGAGGGCTGAAACAGCGTGGATCGTAGACTCTGGCACATCGGATCACATGAACAATAACCACCAATTATTTTCTACATATACTCCATGTGCTGGAAATTTGAAAGTCAAAATTGCAGATGGGTCTCTTGCTCCTATTACAAGGAAAGAGAGTATTCATATCTCTAAATCTATCACTCCAGAATCTGTTCTTCGTGTACCAAAATTAGCATGCAATTTGTTGTCTGTTAGCCAACTAACAAAGCAATCTAAATGTTGTGCTAATTTTCTTCCAACCCACTGTGTCTTTCAAGATCTATCATTGGGTATGACAATTGGACGTGCTAAAGAGTGCGAGGGACTCTACTTCCTTGAGAATGCTAGAGTGAGTCACCATCAAGCCACTAATGTATGTAACTCTATATCAACCTCTAAAGATACAAATAATCTGTTATGGCACAAGAGGATGGGGCATCCTAATTTTCATTATTTATCTCGTTTGTTCCCAAACCTTTGCCCTGCCAACCATAATGTCAAATGTGAAGTGTGTGAACTGGCAAAGCACCAACGAACATCATTTCCTGGAAAACCATATACACCCACCAAACCATTTGTTACCATACATAGTGATCTATGGGGTCCACCTCTTATCTCAAATCGCACCAAATCAAAATGGTTCATTACCTTCATCGATGATTATACTCATGTTTGTTGGGTGTATCTCCCAAAAGACAAGTCTAAGACTGCATCCGTCTTTATCAATTTCTTTACCATGATAAAAACCCAATTCAACACAAATATCCAAGTTCTATATACCGACAATGGTACTAAATATTTTAACCAAGTCTTGAGCACCTTTCTTCACAAGCATGGCATTTTCCATCAAAGCACCTGTGCCCATACACCCCAACAAAACAGGATTGCAGAAAGGAAAAATAGACATATTCTTGAAGTGGCTAGGGCCCTTATGTTCGCCCATAATGTCCCAAAGTTTTAGTGGGGGGATGCCATCTTAACTGCAACCTATCTCATCAATTGAATGCCCAGTCGTATTTTGTCTTTTGATACTCCTCTTCAAAAATTGCAAAGTATTTACTTCACATCTCATATTGAAACCAACATCCCTCTTCGTGTCTTTGGGTGTACAGCCTTTGTTCACATCCATCAATCTAGTAAACTTGGACCTTGTGCTACAAAATGCATATTCCTTGGTTATTCCCCTACTCAAAAGGGATACAAATGTTTCGATCCTATTTCCAAACACATGTTTGTAAGCCTTGATGTTACTTTTCATAAAGATATGCCCTTTTACCCCAATTCTTCAATTCAGGGGGAAAGTATAGGTGAATCTCAGACTTGGGAACAAGAGATTAACAAAGAACAAGTGCTTCCTTATTCTTGGTCCATACCAGCAGACTTATTACCACCTCAATTACCAGAACCCTCATTCTCATCCGAACCCTTACCACCATCACCATCTCTTGTGCCAGTTACAAAAGATAATTCAACATCAGGGGGAGATATAGAGAGGCAAAAAGACAAAGACTTGTTGGTTTATTCTCGAAAGCATAAATACAAGGAAGGAGAGCAACTTGTATTTGAAGCACCAAAGGAGTCAGAACCAGTGATAGCTCCTGAATCACCTCAGCAAAGTCCTGACCAGGTGAGTGTTCAATCTGATCTTGATTTACCCATTGCTCTCAGAAAACAACCTCGCTCTTGTACTTTGCACCCAATACAAAAGCACATATCCTACAAGGCTCTTTCTCCAAGTTATAGTGCTTTTGTCACTAGTCTAGATAAAGTTGTTGTTCCTAACAATATTGAAGAGGCATTGGAAATACCAAAATGAAGAAATGCAGTCATAGAGGAAATGAGAGCCCTAAAGAAGAATGGAACATGGGAGATTGTTCAAGGTCAAGTGGCCAGAAGCTTGTAAGCTGCAAGTGGATTTTCACCCCAAAGTACAAGGCCAATGAAACTCTTGACAAGTTAAAAGCACGCTTGGTAGCAAGAGGGTTTACTCAGACATATGGTATCGACTACAAAGAGACTTTTGCACCAGTGGCAAAATTAAACACCATTAGGGTTCTCTTATCCGTAGCAGCTGATCTAGAATGGCCACTCCATCAGCTTGACATCAAGAATGCTTTCTTAAATGGAGAACTAAAAGAAGTTTACGTGACTCTACCACCAGGATTTGATAGAGGCAGAGGTGATCAAGTATGCAGATTGAAGAAATCTCTATATGGCCTAAAGCAATCTCCTAGGGCATGGTTTGACAGATTCTCAAAAGTCCTCAAGCGAGAAGGCTATAAGCAGGGATTGTCAAACCGTATAATGTTTGTTAAAGTTGAGGGAGGTAAAAGGTGTATCCTTATTGTATATGTTGATGACATTATTCTTACAGGAGATTATCTTGAGGAAATCACAAGAGTAAAGGTTGTTCTGGGCAAAGAATTCGAGGTAAAAGACCTTGCTGCCTTGAAATACTTCCTTGGGATGGAAGTTGCGAGGTCAAGGAAAGGTATTTATGTATCTCAGAGGATATATATTTGATCTTCTGAAGAAAACAGGTATGTTAGGTTGTAGGCTAGCTGAAACCCCTATTGTGGTTCCGAAGAAAAAGCAGCCTACGAAGAATAAGGAAGAGTCAAAAGAAGAAGATGATTCTTATGATGAGGTTGAAAAAGAAGACAATGAGAATGAAGAGGCCACTAATAAAGAGAGATATCAGAGGCTTGTCGGGAAGTTGATTTACCTCTCCCATACAAGACTAGATATTGCCTTTGCAGTAAGTATGGCTAGCCAATACATGTCTGAACCGAAGAAGAAGCATATGAAAGCAGTCTATAGGATCTTGAGATATTTAAAGGGCACTGCTGGTAGAAGATTATTCTTCCAGAAACAAGAACAAAGAACCATAGAGGTCTACACAGAGGCAGATTGGGGAGGAACTCATCCTGATAGAAGATCAACTTCTAGTTATTGTTCCTTTGTTTGGGGGAACTTAGTTACCTGGAAGAGTCAAAAGCAAAGGGTTGTCTCTAAGAGTAGTGCTAAGTCCGAGTTAAGAGCTTTGGCTCAAAGAATAATGGAAGAGTTATGGCTGAAACGAATCCTAGAAGAGATACATGTCGAAGTGGACTCACCATTAAAACTTTATTGTGACAATAAGGCAGCTATAAACATGGCCTTAAATCCTGTTCAACATGAGAAATCAAAACATGCGGAGGTGGATAGACATTTCATCAGAGAAAAAGTAGAAGAAGGAATCATATGTTTGATTTATTTACCTACAAACCTTCAAGCTGCAGATGTTTTGACGAAGGGATTACATAAGCCCACATTTAAAAGTTGCATAAGCAAGTTGGACATGATTAACATCTATGATCCAATTTGAGGGGGAGTGTGGAGATATTGTATTTATTGTAAATATTATTATCTGATTATTAAGAGTTAATAGGATTTATTAGAATTATTAGCCATTTATTTGCTTGTCTCTTAGCTTTGTGTATGCATAGTCTTCTGTATTCTACTATTATGATCAATGGAAAATCATATTTCTCCTCTCAAAAATCCCACAGAGACTCTTGCTGTTGTAAACTTCAGAGTATTAAACGGCTATAATTTTTTCAAGTTTCAAGCAGACTAAGTGGCAAAATGCAATGAGCGTTATCTTCCTTAGTAGAGGAGTAAGTTTAGAAATGCTGATAGTCAAAAGCTAAGAATTCCAGCACAAACAGAAGAAGAAAATGATTGGAGCGTATAGCATGACTTTAATGACTAATTGAACAAACAACAAACTAACCATCGCATGGTGTCCTTTTGCTTTGATCCACATGGTTTGACATATCAGAATAGGTGACCATGCTTTGGGGCAGAGCCAAATGCAAATTTGTCTCAGAGCTTGGCATTGCAGGCTTATCCTGAAGAAGCATGACTTTAGAATACTAGTTTTTCAAGCAATATAAGATCCTAAAGACATTAATTGATTCAATTCAAGATATCAAAAACAGGAACCCCATCTAAGGGTTTCAAGTTTCAACATGTTTGCCATGAATACATCTTTTGAGTTAGAATCAATATTAAAAAAAAAAATAGATATGCTAAGTAAGTTGAGAGGAGGCAAATAATTTGATTTCAAACTACAGTTTCTATTTGACCAAATATAATAATATCAGTGAAAAGGAGGAAAGCCACCAAACGCATTGCAAGACTATGTTAATGCCTAATACCTCTACGAAACAACCTAAAAGAATAAAGGCCTCTCAATCTGTCCTGCATCATTTAAAATGCAACTTCATTCACACATACATCATAGATCTTCAATTTCATAAGTATAACATGCTATTAAGTTCAAGACCTGCATATAAGACCAAGCAGAAAAATCAAGTAAAAATAACTCAAAAGTCAAAATTGACTTGGGAATCTTCCAGATTCAATAAATTCAAAGAAAAGGAATAAAAGCATGCTTGCTTCCTAAATTTCTCATACCTTTCTATTGTTGACCTTTTTTCCCACATTATGTTCTTCTGGCTTCCTTCGCTTCCTCTGCAAAAGGTGTTAAACGATATTTTAAGCTCCAATAAACATACGTTCTGCTTTTTCTTTGAGAACCAGTTCGTGATCATAGAAGAATTGGTTAACGCAGTTTGGCTTTTTATGCTTCTGGTTTATTCATTCTTCTGTTAATTATGTTTGTTGTTTATTGATTTGTCTAATTTCTTGATTGGCCCAAAAAAAGGCTCCAATAAGTTATGCGTAGGTACAATTTACAAAATTCTCCAGGTCCAACACTTAACGCACTATTCTCATACACGGGGAAAATTCAAGGAAAGTTAGTCCAGTAATCTGGTTCACATAATCAAGGAATTTTTTTTTTTTTTTTTTTGCCGGGAGGGGGGGGTTTGAGGTGGATGGTTTTGTGCTTGTGAAGCCTAAGTTCCACAGTGAGATTTTAAGATTAGGATCAGCATATATTTGAGGATATTAGTCAAAAAAGAAAGGATCTTTAAGAGAAATTAATTCTTTAGATAGGTTGACAAAGGAGAGGGTTCTTTCCTCAGTGCAACAGGATTAGAGACAAGGGTAAAGGAACAAATTCAAAAAGGCTCTGCTAAGCATAGATAACAGTTGTAGAAAAACTTTTTGGCTTTAATGGGCAAAGAAAGGAGATGCAAAACTCAAGGCTGTTCCACAGAGTCACTACCTGTAGAAGCAGACAGATAATGGTGATTTCTTCTGACATGTGTGTACGAAATTTGCCTAATTTATCTTCACAGTCTAGCAGTGAGTTGATTTGCAATAACTCTTTGGTATTCTTGGAGAAAGTTGGCTGTGTGCTACTTCTTTGGATCAGTTTCTCCAAATTCACTTTAATTTTGGAGGAATGTGCTGTTTAAGGGACATTATGGTTTGTTTGGGTCATGAGAAATCCCCATGAATTCAAGGGTTTACCTTTGTATTTAAACATGGAATAGAACTGTTTATATGGCTACTCTTTGGTGCTCAGGTCACGAATGTTTCATGGAAATCCATTTCTGATGCGCAAAGAGATTCAACAGCTCTTCAAAAGAAATCAGCTTCTTAGGACTCTGTTACATTTTCATTTATGCATGACCTTTAGTGTTTTTAAATTTTATTTGAAATATTTTTATCCTAAAAAAATCGTACTTTATCCTCTATCTAATACAATTTCTTTCTACATAAAAACTTGTTAAAAACCTGGAGCATGAGGATGGTAGGTTACGAAGAGCAGTTATATACCATTTTTTATATATTTGGAAGATCACCATGGGCTGCTTAATCATGGTTTGGATGGATGTCCTATTAGTCTGCTAAGGGTTGGGATGATTCAATGTACAATCCATTCATCCTTTACATAGATCCAAATAATTCAAGACAATAACTTCATGCAGAAAGATTTTTCATTGACCAAGTGATTGCCCATGCAACCGTCTAGAAGATGTTGCTGTTCATAAAGGAGTGTCTCCAAAAGCTAACAGAGAATTAAAGGGAATAAAGGAAAAAAGTTTAAGCTCGAACAGATAAAAGAAGACATTTTCAAGGTAAAACACGATGCAATGGGAAAAGTTAAAGCAGAAAAAAGAAACCTTAATATGAAATATCATGTGACATGGTGATAATGAAATAAAACAACAGCAGAATGGTAAGGGAAAGAAGGATGAGAAAAATCTATTTTGTTATGTAAAAGTAGGCAAATCAAATGTTAATCAACGTCTCCATCTCCCTTTTCAAAAGGAAAACACATGAGCCTCTAATGACTGATTTAACAAAATCTGAGCTTGCTATTGACTGAGTAAATAAGGCAACCAACATTATATACTCCATAATAGATTTAAAAACATAAGAAAATAATATAAACTGAAAGCAACCTAACAAGTGCAGAAGTTATTATTTAAATAAAAATAGAACAATAGCCACTCAAGTAATATATACGTACCATTAATAGACAATATCAAAATATGACAGCATTGTTAAAAGTAAAAGAGCTTACTGTCATCCACCTACACCTCAAAGCAACATCACGGACAGTTTTATCAGGTAATGTGGCAGCAATCTTGATATACCTCATGATGCTTGGCTCGTCAGCATATCTATATATAAAACAGAAAAATTAAGACAACAAGGATAACATAAAGAGAAATAGAATATCATTGCAAGAATGTATGAATACGCTGTAAAATCAAATGTTGCATGGCCACTCTATTCTTAATCATTTTTAAATAATGTTAACAAGGGAAATAACACCATAGAATTTTAAGGAGGAATTGGAACTTCAAAACATGAAACTTCACAAGTTCAAAGATATGAAATCCTCATATCAGAAATACAGGCAAAATATCAAAAACAGAAGTAACCAAAGTCCTATTAAACTGATCAATGTAGGAAGGCTGTTCAATCTCTTAGAATTTTAAGAAGGCCTTGATAAAAGTAAAAGAAAGCATTATGTCCTTAAAGACAATTGTTTTAATCTCTAAGACGCCTTTAAATTTTGACTACGTAAGATCTCAAATTTCAATGTCAAATTGCCCATCAAATGTCACCCTTATGTCACATGATGGATGAACAATGAATCCTAGAATCTATCAACAGTTATCATACTGAAACAATAAATAAATGAAGCATTAAAAATAGAAGAATAATACATTTTGCACTGCATTCCCAGGCTTATAAAATTATAACAATTGGAGAAGAACAATGAAACAATACTTGTGACAAAAAATCCTGCAGCTTTAAAATATACATGAATAGTACACTATTGATCTCATATTCTATTGCTCTTTAATTTTCTAAACAGTACAGCAAAGAAATATGTGATTTAAGATAAACAGTGCCATGAATCAGCATTTAAAAGTACAAGTGTGTAAGAGAGAGGGGAAACAATGAAGTGAGAAATTTAATGATCTTTTGTCTGTTTCTTTAATAATTATATGATCATTCATAAATAGACTTAGATTTGATAATTACTGAAACTGCAGGTAGGTAACAATGGAAAAATAAGAAAGGCATGACCGAGATTGTCACATATTAATTTCATCACGAAGTAGTAAGATGCAAACAAGTTACTATACAGGAGATACACAAACTAGCGCCAAAAAGAGTCAAAACAGAAACTTTTACTCAGAACAAACTGCTCACCTAGATAGGCCCTCCTCCAATCTGTACTGTTCTTCAACAGACCATTCAACAGCTAATACTGTATCATGCTTCAGGCCTGGGACCGAATCAAGAAGAAGCGAAGAACCTGATGAATTATTGGCTTGACTTATGACAGAGTTACTGCTAATCATGCCCGTGTTTCCAGAATATATCAACCCAGAAGTACTGTTCAAGCCAAAGTAAGTACCCATAGGAACCATCTCGGACAAATTGTTTATAGAACCAGACTGAAACGATATTGCATGCTGGTTCAAGGCAGAACCTATATCTTCACCTCGAAACCCTGAGTTTGACTCTGCTGCCATCTGTTTCTTTCTTGTATCTAACAAGTTACTCAAATCACATACGCTAAAAAGCAATTCCAAGAAATCAAAGACTATGATTTTACTTCGTCACTGAAGCAACAAGCATTTTTCAAAGGGACAAACAAGACCAACAGCAAAGTCTGCCCAAATTCACAACTTCTGGGTGCCCGTCCAAGATTAGGATCATTTGAATAGTTCCAAGAGGACCCCCCAAGAATAAGAGACGTAAAGCCGCCAGAGCGATTCAGGGAATGTTGCTCAGAGCAAAAATATGCCCCAGAATTACTAAATAAAGCCGCTGGATACTTCTATGAGCAAGGAAATGGAGGAGAATCTAAACAAGTCTGAAGTTAAAACCCACAAAAGCCAAATCAGTATCAAGTTAAAGAAGAAAAGACTTCCATCTTGAAAACAATTACGAAGGAGAGCTCCAATTAAAGCCCTAACAACCGCTAATCGGAGGGAATACTGAATAGAGAGAGAGAGAGAGAGAGAGAGAGAGAGTTACCTTTCAAATAGCAAATTTTAGAGTAGCCCAGCTTGATGTTGTGGTGGATGTACTGCTTTACCTTTCACTAGAGTGCTATCGCTACCACCGTGTGGCATTTGCTGCTTTCTGGGTTGCGGGGTTCTCTGTTTTGTTTGTCACACACACACACACACTCTCTCTCTCTCTCTCTCTCTCTCTAGAGAGACAAGACATGGCTTAGAGCTCTGCCAATAGCCAAGCAGAGAAAGGCGAAAAAGGTAACAGGCACCTTATTTTCTAAAATGATAATGGATGGTTGTGGATCTTGGAATTCAGCAACAGTGCGAATCCCAATAAGCATTTGATGCTAATCATTGTGGACTCCAGTCACTCCACCTCCGCCTTTTTTTCTTCGCTCTAATTTACTTTTTAGTCTTTTTCTTTTGATTAATTTGAGCGTGATAGAATTAATTTACGATTTAGTTGGATCTAGTTTATATTCAAGGAAAAGGCTTGCTGTGGGGCTGTAAGTTCGTAGAGCATACCAGGATCAACTTTTAAAAGTTAATAATAATAATAATAATAATAATAATAAGATAATGCTGATTCATCAACCATATCTTTATACTCTTTCTCTCTAAATTATAAGTAATTTAATATATAATTAAGTATATCAATAAAATTAAATAATAATATTTTATAAACTTACTTTTTCACAAAAAAAAAATATAAACTTTTAAAAATAACATTCATTCAATATAACTTTAAATCTACACACTTAATTACACTACAATCATTTTAAAAAATCTTATTTCTATCAAATTTTTTTATATTTTAAGATAATAAAATATTTTTAAAATTATCAACTAACTTTTATAATTAATTTTTCAATTATATCCTTTTTTCATTTATTGTTCTTTTTGAAAAAAAATTATGTATTAAAATTTTAATTACTATTATCAAGGATTTTATATAGTGTATTTAATATTATGTATTTTATATAGGTAACTGGGAGAATTTTTTGTTATGCTTTTGTGTGTTAGTTGATTTATTGATTTATATTTGATAATTTAAAAGTGTAAAAATTGAATGAGATGCAAGTGCGGACGACTTACTTGAAAATATACTATAATGATTTTATAAAGTTTAATGATGTGTTTTCCTTTTAGAGTTTAATGATGTGATATGTTAGTGGATTTCAATTATTTTTATGTTAAGAGGAGTTCAATGACTTGATAAATGAAAAGTTCAACGTAGTAGTGTTTTGTGGAGTTCTATGATGTGATTATAAAGTTCAATGAATGTGTAGATGAGGAGTTCAATGAAATAGAGTAAATTGAGTTCTATGATTTGATTATGTGTGTTAATGTGACGTTATGTATAAGATGGGTACAATGATGATGTGATGCATGCCTGAACATTAAGTAATTGCACGCCTTAAGTTGTTGCATTGTATTTCATTGTATGATCTTAAGAGATGTGTTTTCTCTTAAGAAGAGGAGGAGAGAAGTAAATTCACGTGGTAAGGCTTCCATCTAAACTCAATAGTTTGCCTATGTTTGTCATATGTATTGTCCCATTTGTTCAATGAGGGATTATCACATTGGTTCAACAAGAGACTCGAACCTAGTTAGTTTTTCCACTTGTTTAACAAGGAAATTAGTCTAGAAAAAATGACACCTTATGGTGTGAGAAATGAGGAAAACCGTGACTCACAAGTGAGTTGGAAAACCTTGGCTAAGTAACCTCTCACATGTGTTTGGCTAATGTATTATAGCCCACGGTTTCATGTTAGAGGAATAGAAAAAATATAAAGGAGGAGTGATCATGCATATAGTGTTAAAAAAGTACATAGTTGTCTGTATTGTGATCCTAGTGAAACAAATCATGTGATTAGTCCTATTTCTATATGAAACTGTACTACTAAATCATTATCTCATGAGCATGTGTTATTATGAATAAAATTTTGAATTATGCTCTTAAATATGTTAAATGATATGAAAATTGTTCATCATTACCACTTACATTTAAATTGATTGACATGCATTAGTATAAGTTAGATGGATCTTAATTACTGAGTGGTTATACTCACCTCATTATCTTTAATATTATAGGAACTAGCTTAAGATGACAAGATAGAGAGAAATAGCCTAAGGCATCGGATATTTATAAGCCTCCTTTCTTTTTGAGTATTAATGTGTATATTTTTCAATGATATTGCCAACTAGGGATGATTTATGTTGTGACTTACTTGCACTAAAGTGTTTTGTTAAACTATATAGTGTATTTTAGGCCCTAAGGTGTATATGTATTGATTATGAGACCTAAAGTAAGGTGAAAATACTAGTGCAAGTAAGAGTTATGTATAGCACTTGAATTATGATAATTAAATGATGAAATTTATGATTGGAGCTCTCCCTATTGTTTTTGAACTTAGGGGGTTGAGTAATTAAAAATGATTTCATGTGTATTAATAGTGGTGTGGTCCTGCATAAGTCCATTCTGGTTCATTGAGCGTGTTCTAAGGGGTGTTTGTAGCTTTTGGCTTATGGTAAGAGTTTTGAGCACCCAAGTCATGTGTAATTGTGAAAAATAGTGAATTTCAAAATGGTGTCCAACTTTTGACTGAGAAATAAATTGCATGTGGGACTAAAGTCATCAGTTAGAGTTAAGAGAAAACTCTCTATAAACACTAAATCACATCAATCGGACATTTAATGGAGAAATAAGGCATGTTAAAAGTTTGCCCTATTTGTTGTCAAAACTGTGTAATGCGCAGCTACGTATGGCATAAAGACTCACAAGCTACAGCACAGGTGTATAAGCCGCGATGCATGCCTTTATTTCTACACTATTTCATTGTTTTTCAAATTTTAAGCAAACGCCTTGATTCTTTTTGAGATCTCATGCTTTCACATGTCAATCGAACTATGATTTTTCACTTGTGAAGAACTTTTGGGATGTTTTAAACATTTGAAAATTTAAGATCTCATTTGTGGAATTTAAAAAATTTAGTAATTACCATGATGTTTGGAACTTAGGGAGAATTAGTATAAGTAATCTTACTGGTCTAACCTGGAGATTTTACATAAATGTTATATCATAAATTCCACATGAAGTTTGCCAATTTTTTTTTTGGGAGATACCAATGGTACCAACAAACTCCATTTAACTAATTGGCTTTAGATTTATCAATCTAAAGGATTATAGACCAGTAATGGAGGATTGTAGGTTAAGAACATTGAAGCTTTCAATTGGGCTTTTATTAGCAAGGAATGCTTGGAGAATTATTAGTAATGATATGACTATTTTTAATAAAGTGCTTAGGCATAAGCATCTTTCAATAGAAGACAATTATATTTTCATTTCTAAAGCCTTGCTTCACCTATTTGGAAAGATATTGCGAAATCTAGTAATATCATTACCAATAATCTTCATCAAAGTCTTAGAAATGGTGAGATGGTTTCTTTAAAAAATAGGCATTGGCGGCCTTTGTAGCAATCACAGGTGAAATACATTCATCTTGGAATGTATCTAATCTTATATTGTGCCCTTCTCTGATATGGAATATCCCTTTGCTCAATTCTTTATATTCTTCTACTACTGCTTCATTCATTATAAAGACTTCAATTCCTTGTAATAATCACCTTGATTGTATTAAATGGTCAAAAAAGTTTTTGGGTGATTATTCTATAAAAGATGGTAATAATACTTTTCATTAGTATGATGTGTCTAATTCGACCTGTTTTATAGAATGGCCCTTTATTTGGTCTTAAAAAATTCAACCAAAATTAAGGTGTTTCTTTGGAAAAGGCTATCAACAATATCATTCTTAAAAACTCATCATTTTCCAATTGATGAAGTTTGTGTTTTTTGTAATCAAAATGATAAGAGTTTGGAATATCTTTTTATGTGATGTTCTTTTTCTAAAGCTTGTTGATTTGTGAGCCTTCTAAATTTTAGAATTGATTCCCAACCTTCTTGAAATTTACTTAACTGGTTGGTAGTCTGGTTAAGCAATTTTCATGATCATAAAGGAAATCTATTTGTTTGACATTTTACCTTTGTATATCTTGGACACAATTTGGTTTTTTTAAAATTAGAAATATTTTGTAGGTAAATCTTTTCATCCTCCAAATGTCATCAGTGAGGCAACATTAAGAGGAGCTGAATTTTTAAGGATTAATAATTGTATACCATGCAAATCAAGATTGTAATACTGCCTACAACTTCCTATTCAAATAATGGAAACCTTCCTTTCTAGGAAGATTAATATGAAGTTGGCTTTTGGAATTCAAACATTTAAGAATTTCAGGTACTAAAAGATCTTTGCAAATAATTATTTCTAAGAATGGATCAGCCATAAAAAAATTGAAAAATTATAACTATAAATAGAGTGTTTTCAAAAAACTTAACTTTTTTTACAAGAACAATTTATTTCTCATTTCGATTTTAGCACTATTATAGGACTTCACTTATATAAATTATCTCATATTAACTTTATAATTAGACTTGGTAAGGCACTATGGCTTTTACAGTCTCTGCAAAAAGACATAGGCGCCTTAATGGAACAGTATGATGTAATTGTTTTTATTATTTAATTTGGAGTGATCTTTTTATGAAAAAAAAAAAGGAGTGGCAAGTGTTATTCATTTTTCCAGATATAGTTAGGTACCATAATAACACAAGACACTATTTTTAAAAATTACATATTGCTTAAAAAACAAATAATTCATGCATTCATTCGCCGCAAAAAGTTACAGGCTTATTAACTTAGCAGAAAGCATTTATACATTGCAACATCAAATTCAAAGGAGTTGGCCAAAAAAAAAAAACAATCAAAGGGGGAAAGAAACTGAAAATCAAAAGAAAGTGAAAAGTTAAAGAAACTTCGAAGTTAAAAGTGGTAATAACTGAGAGAATGGCTATTATTCCAACGTTAGCCCCCACTATGGGCTGCCCGTTAAAATCGCGAAAAGCTGGCGACCAATAATCCATAAATCTCTGACGCCGGGAAAAACATTGTTCCAGAGTCTTTTAATTCTAAATATTGGACTCTACAAATTAATCAATTCACGCTCGCTCAACAAGAAAAAAAGAATGTAAATCAGACAGAAACAATTAAATTAAGCAAACGCTGTCTCAACTCAATTCATATGCTCAAATGCTCTTCCCGAGGTAAGCTTTGCACAGTATCTGACCATCTGCCCGGAGAATGATCACTACTGTTTGAGGACACTTGAGCCTCCGCTCTTGCATCTCTTATCATCTTTAAAACTTCTCTCATTGTTGGTCTGTTTTCTGGTACCAGTGAAACACACGCCATTGCA